GGACTGTAGTCCTGCACAGTATAAAGGAAGCAGCCTCTTACCTGGGTATCTGTCAGTCACCGGTCTGTTTCTTCCAGAAGTCATATTTTCACTGGCTGTGGTACACAACAGTCAGTTTCACAGTCAGAGATGTAGCTCATTCCATCAATTTATGTGTCTGGAAAGTAAGCTGCGTATTCACGAAAACCATTCAGAAGAATTAAAATATACATTAAAAAAAAATATTTGGAAAATGAGACAGGCCACCATTTTCTTTCAGCCTGCCTGTAACAGTCAGAGTGAGAAAACAGAACGCCAACCATGCATCTGACTCTGCAGTTACTTAATTGGAGGATCAGGACCAAAGTTCTAAAAAAAATATTTAGGTTAACATAGTTTCTTTCAACTCTTACCTCTCCCAGTTAACGATCACTAACTCAAATATTAATTATTTACATCCATTTAGCAAGATCCAATGCAGAGCCTCACTCAGTGTGCCATCCACACTGAGTTTTGTTCCCTAAAACTGAGCATATACAATCATAAACGGCAGTGTGTCTGAAGCGAATTGCTGTCGAGGTAAATTAACTTGGATAAGGAAAGTAGACTTGAAAGGGCACCCTGGCTTTCATTTACAACTCCATAGTCCAGAATTCCTGTTAGCTCTTCTTTCAGACTTTTTGTAGAGAACTGTAGTGCCTGGTATTTCCTTCTGCAGTGTTAGTGGATGCAGGGGACATCCAGAAGATCAGCTGAAGTCTGCACATCTGAATTTAATCCCCCAAATTCAGCCATGTCATCTGCCATCTCTTTGCACTGAAACATTTAATTTTATATTTTTAGAAATAATAGTTTTGTTATTTGAAATAGAATGTGAAATTCAAGTAAATGAAACAGACAACCATTCTTTTTTTTAGAAAGGAAAATTTATTTATGGTTACATATACCACATATAAAATTAACATTTAACTGAAACATGTAATTGTTTCAATCATTTATGACTAAACACTTATGATGTTAACTACAAAACTGTACAGTTTGTATTTATTAACCGATTCTTACAGCATAGTGCAATTGTAACATTTTATAAACAAAATAACTTGTGCCTTTTTTTTTTTAAATAAAGTGCATTAAATGACTATCTTGTATACAACAAGAAGCTCTGTAGTTGCAATCCAAAGCTTTAATCTTAAGGGAAACTGAGGCAAAGATGTTTCACTTCTTTTTAAAATTACTTCATACACTGGCAAACTACTGTTCAAACTTCAACCACAGTCAAACGAAAAAACCCTAAATTAGTATAAGAAATAACCACAGGCCTTTATGTACTAAACCAGTAATTGTTTCTCATATGAAAAGCACAACATGCAGAATTTAAATTACTGGTTTAAAGACATTTGGCTCCTAATGAGATCTGTAGTGTGAGAGCTTACCCCCATGCAGCTGCTTTTGCTAAAGCTTTTAGAATCCAGCATGGAATCACACTGCAGTCAGTAGTACCAGGAGTTTGCACGAATTGTACTGTGTTTCCTACGAAAAATTCTGAGAATTTCATGAGATGACCATGGTAAATCATAGGTTATTTTGAATTGCATTTGGCAATAAAGAGAAAGTACGGGTCTAGTTAGTAAGTCTAGAATATTACAAGTAGTTCTACTGGTCCAGGCATTCCAAATTTCATGGCCTGAAGTTAAATACAGAGTTTTACAGCTTTATTTCAGAGGCACAGTTACAACATTTTATCCTATGAAATGTCTTTTTATTTGTAAACACATTTACAATCAACTTTTGCAGGTTTTGGCTGTGACAGTCAAGTTGAGACTAAAGGACAACATGAATGTAGATTTTAGCCCCTAAGAGTAAGAAAATGTAGACATACAAGACAGATAAAGGTCTAATGTGGCGCTCTGTAGAAATAACGACAAAAATAAGAATGCCCATTTCCTTTGGTGGGCTCTGGCTCAGGCGAACAGAGAAGTCCATATTCTTCTCCTCCTCCATACGTACCTGGGACTGCTATCAGCTTCAATGGAAAAGATATCTGAGCACAGGCAAGTCACCCTAGAGATTGCCTGAGCATTTTGCTGTATATGTAATCTAGGCAATTTACCTGCCTCTTCAGCTGCAATACCCATTCCACACTTTTGGCACAAATCACACATACTGTTTCCACATTATGGAAAACTGCATTTTCCTCCTATACATTTTAACCTGTGGGACCAGGCTGAGCTCATGAGCAGACCTACTGTGCATTCAGCCGCTCTGCTCTGGAACATCCGCTGTGTGAAAAGCTGCATGATGGAGCGTGTCAGCTCCCAGCAGAGACTTACTCTCCTCCTCCTCGACTTAAGGAAGTCTCTGCTTCCACTGAAAGGGAAATACAAAAGAAAGGAGCTAAAATTTGGTTGGGATGTGACCAAAGAAGGGTCACTATTTTCTACCATGTCTTCAGAAAGCTCTCTGCCTAAAGCAGAGCTCCCTTCCAAACTCAGCACACTCTGACCCTATGATCAACACTGCAGATAAGCCTTACCTCCGTGCTGGTTCCTCGTGAGCCCTCTGGGGCAGAGGCAAACCAAAAAGCAGCAAAACAAAACTCCATGGATGGGGCACCGCTCTCTGAGCTCCATGGGGACACAACAGTATATCTCTTTCAGGATGTGGGTATCTCAATTTTCCAAAGGCCAGGTCATGTTGCTTTCACTTGCATATTATAAAATATGTCCACCCTGAAAGCAGCGGAAGCTGTATTCCTGATTATTTTGATGGGTTTCATTTTAGCAAACACAGAAGAAAGAGGAAAATTCTATAGGGGCCATAACTAATCAATGCATTAACAGCTCCATACCTTGGCCCTAAATCTTATAGGTCCTAGCCACTTTTCCTAGAACACATACACTCCTGAAGTATAGGTGTATTTTGTGTGCCCTTTAAAAATAAATGTATAAGACTTTTTAGATACTGTAATATTCCCCAGCTTAGTATCAGCCAGGGCAAAATGTGCACCTGTGTCACATGACTGTACAGACTGCTATTTAGACTCATGATCTGTGCAGTCCTGTTACTAAAGCACCTATGAAGGACACAGAGAGAGAGAGAGAAAATGAAAACAGGGAACAGTGTATGCAGAAACATGTAACTGCTATATAGGTTCATGTTAATGATAAATATCCTTCTTGTATTCTGCCCCAGATGTGGCCATAAAACACATTCCTGTAATCCCAAAGATGGCAGTGGGATCTGTGCAAATTAAAGACATGAGAATTAACCTCCCTTCCAAAGCCTCTGGATTGTCTTTGTTGAAATATTGATTACTTGCCACTGAATCTTTCAGTGTTTGCAACATTCATACCGGTTTGGCAATGCTTTTCTTTAATCATATGATACTGCCTCAGCAATGAGGTTACACTTTGACCATTACAACACTGAAGGTATAGAGCATGATATCCAGCATATCATACACATAAAAAGTAAATTAAATAATCATAATAATTATGTATATATATTACATTTCAGTATGTAATTATGCTATTTAAGTATGATAGCTCATAATACTTAAGTGAATGGCATACCAAAATACTCCTAAGAAACTCTTTCCACTCAGCATGTAATAAACTAGTACTTATGTTCTTTAAGTTAAACCTGGACATAGGTATTGTCTTTTAAAATTATTTATACTTTTTTAAAAAAACAAATCTATTTTGTTGGCGTCTATTCCTTAAAAGTGGATGGCCCCTCCATTTTCCAAGGTAAATCCTTGCAGGATGCCGACCTCAGCATGTGCAGTTAGTGTTGGCTGGCTTTTTCCTTGAGAAACTGAGACTATGCCTGTGCTTAGACAGATCATGGTAGATCATATGGTTGGGATCAAATGGTTTGAGGAAAAACCAGTATCACCAGTGTAAATAAAACGGTAGCAGTTCACTTGTTCACCCACCCCCCACAGGCAAATCATAAATTTCCAGTGTAAGGGAAATGCTCACTGAAGTTGTTCAATGAAAATGTGCTGCTGATATATTTGAAAGGGTTACAACAAACTATTAAAACCTTTGTAAATAAGCTTTTACCTAAGAATGCAGCACTGTACTTACATGAGGCAGGTTCCTAGAATCGTAGAATCATTTTAGGTTGGAAAAAACATTTATGATCATCGAGTCCAACTGTAAATCAACGTTTGTCTTGAAACACAAAAGACTGTGCCAGACATCTTACTACTGGAGGGGGGCAAGGGGAGAACACCCTGCTCTTTCCCCTATAATCCTATGGCCATCAGCTGAATTACTCTACACTAGTAATTTAATCAAGCCCCTAAATGTGCTGTGAATGTCCGTTAAGTACTCTACGCTGTTTAGAAAGGTCTGTTTTACTTAAGAGATATCAGATAAATAAATTCATTCACTAGTTTTGGGACAGAAAAGTCTTCCCTCCATCTGGGAGGGGGAAACCCATTATACTATCTCATCCAGTCAAATATTTAGCCTGTCAGCAAGAGTTTATAAAAATTGCCTTGGCATATGTAGAGTGCAAAACAAAAGGCTTGGGGAGGTGAGGACAATTTCTTCAAAAGGAAATTCAAGAAGTTTGGGATGCAAGTTTGACTGACCTTTGTTTTAAAATTAGTTTTATTCTCCCAACCCACTTGCAAAAATCTCCCCTTATCCTTTCAATGGCACTGAATTATCGTTTGCATCACAGCAGTGACGCACTAGCTAATTACAATATGGTTTCATCTAACCTACATTCAGGTTTGGGTTTTTTTCCTTCTCTTCTAGAAGAAATTTGTATAACACAGTGAAATATGCAACTGTTTCTTATTGTCTGGCTTACAAGACCACAACAATTTTCAAAAAAAAAACCTGCAGCATGGACTTTTTAGGTTTTTTTGAGTGCAAGGGCACATTGTTTTCAAAGAAACAGTTACTGCAAAGTTATAAACCCAGCTGCTCCTTAGAAGAAACAGAAGTACATAATGACTTACTCTAAAATAATCTGCTATTGGTTCTACTTTTGTATTTTTAATATTTTTCCACAAAAAAACTGCTTCTGATTTCAGGTGGAGCCATGTAAGACTGTGCTAACAAGACAAGTTATAATCTGAATAAAACACGAGGTCACGTTTTCAAGGGAGAAGGACCTCACTGCTGACCATTATTTCCTCCTTTCTGTTCTCCAGGCACCATTCAACAGGAACAGCGATACTGCCCGCCTGAAACTCACAGGGACTGCTGTACTTCATTTCCCCCAGAGCCCCTCTCAGGTGCTCCGTGGACATCCAGTAAGGTTCCAAATGGACAATTCAAAATAACTTTCTCAAAGGCAAACTTTATCCAAGCATCCTTCCTGTCCAACCTCAACCACTGCATTACCTGGCTGATTCACCAAGCCATGAAGACTTCCATCCTCTCATCTTTCAGCACCCATCTAGTACGAAAGCAGATATCCTTGCAATTCATCCAGATTTCTGATACATTAAAAGGAACTGCAAATTCTTCGTCTGAAGAAGCCAGCAGCACCCAGTTTTAAGGAGTAATTTCCTTTTGTACCAAAAAGTATTTCCAGATATGAGACCGTTCAAGTTTACTGGGAGTCTCATTGTTCTTTTACTGACAGATGGGGGAGATATGCATGATTAATCTATCTTTCCTGTACTATTGCTTATTCATGACATATAAATCACACCACTTCCTTTTAGTCCCCTCTCTATAAGCAGAGATTGAGAGATCTTATTTTTTTCTCCACTGCACATCTCTGGACTACCACTAAGCCAAACTAAATGTGTCATTGAAAGAGAGAGTAAACCACCGCTTTATATAATGGCATTCAAAAACCAGGAAAAAAAATAATCAGCAAATTTAAATACCATTTAAAATTATGTTTCCCAAATTGCAGTAATGCGCTGTCATCTGCACTGGCCTTTTTATTGGCTAATCACCAAATTTCACATGCTTTTGAGTAGCCCTGCTGCCTCACACTTGTAACTTGCAAGTCAAGTTATAGGGCTTCTCACTAACATGCAATACACTAAGTGTCCAATACGGTAAGCATGTGAAAAATTTGTTTTTCCCAAGTTTACCACCGAAATTATCAAACTGTTTTCACAAGTATTTTATTTTTAGAAGCTAAACAATGCCTAAGAAAATGAGGCAATAGAAAAATAACTCTTTGGGGATGGAAAGGCTGCTGGCCTAAGACAAAGGCTGCTGTCCATGGAGGGATTTTAGCAACTCCAAGAAGCCTCAAGGCTGACCCCTGAACATGAAGGATGGACACAGTGCCTTATGTCACTGACTGTCCATGGTAGGAAGATATAGCAGCCATAGCAGGCCTTTCAGCTTGCTTCCAAATACCCTGGGTGTTGGTAAGGGTTTTCTTCAATGATACCATACTTTGTTCTTTTAAAAGCCAAGCTGCCTTCAGAGTGGGCTAGCATCATTTATCATATCCATCTTGTCAGGCATCACATCATTCAGGTATTCTCAGTTTTTGTATGGTAAGAGTATTCTCAGTATTAAGTTACAATCAGAGTCCCTGAACGAAATGAATTTATCCATAGAATGCTGTACAACTAAATGCCAAACAATGAAAATAATAAAAATCCCCACTGCAGTACATAATTCCTTCTTGCAAATAGCATGGATTCAGGATCCAAGAACTAAGGTAAAAGGTTATTGCTGAGTAATTCTATTCAGGAACTCAGTAACTGTAACACAAACCAACCAGAAATAATGTCCCACATCAGTCTGATAGCAACTGCTTAACAAAGGAAGACTTTTGCTTACTTAAAGTCCTTATGCAAGATACTATTTTTTGTCTAAAGAAGATATTGCTTCCTCTCTATTGCTCTGAGTTTACTCAGCAGTTTATAGTACCCGCAACATGGAGGATTTTATTGCTCTTGTGCTAAAAACGTATTTCCCCTTATTGCTGAACTCTTACTGTCAGGAGAAATGGTTAAAAAAAACAACAAGACAACGAAAAAAAATCCTCTCCCAAGCTTTGAGAATGAATATATGAAAACACTGACCACAGCACATTTCGCCCACCAAGATACAACCTGTTACTAACTTTGGGTCAAGTGTCTTAGTAAATAAAAATGAACTTCAGTTCTTTAAACTAAATTACGCATTAAGATAAAAGGCTTTTGTCATCATGACGGAGATATGAAAGATCGTTCACTGTACACAGAACGGTTAATCTAACACTCCAGTTTTACACACGGGTGTTGTTTAATGGGACACCAAAATGACAGAATCCTGCAAGCTATATAGATTTCTGCCAGTTTCAGAGGGACTTTGGATGGATGCTGGCACCTCACCATCTAGAAGCAGGGCCTATACTGTAACTCTGAGGTGATGGCAGAGAATTGTTTAATTCTGCAGGGTCTGAAAAGTGTCTGTCTGTCAAGCTTTCCTGTTGTGCAAGTGAGGTAGGCAGCTTTGTACCCACAGCTCTGTTCCCCCTCCAAGAGTTCAGTCACAGGTGTGTTATATCGCATCTATCCAGCACTGCAAACCATGTTAAAGCTTGCTCTGACAGCTGCGGGCAAACCTATGTCACTGACTGCCAGGAGGATATTCTGGCATATGCTGCACAATCTCAATTTAAGAACGTATTTCTGGAAAAGACAACATCCTCACTGGAGGTCACAGCAGTAGCTTGGGAGGGATAATCATGTTTCTCATCTGTTTGTGGTGAAAGGTAACCATGTGCTACTCCTCAAATGAGGGCAAGTCACATCCCTATGAGCTAGCTTTGTGGAACTTCTATAATTAATCCTTCTTCCCACCATTTGACTCACACGGCTCCTCAGGAGAGGAGCTTCCAATTACAAATCACTCTGCTCTGGCACAAGGAAAAGGTCGGCTCCCCCGGCACTCTTGGAGAGCCTCTGTGGATTTGAGCAGCCTGTGGAGTGAGGAAGATGACAAAGGACACTCGGTGAACCAGCATGAGAAGGGGGGACAACATTCTCTCCCTCTGTGCTGTTATTCTCTGGCTTCCCTACCACCCAGGTGCTGTGGAGAGAAAAACACTAGTGCCTGTGAGGTTATCCAAGAGGATGAAAACAGGTCTGCATAAACAGCATAACAGTTGCCCTCAGGACTGAATTTTGGTCACAGCTGTAGCTCCTTATCCTCATCACACTTTTGAACAATTTAATACAGAATAACAATTGGCGGAAACGAAGGGAGGGGGTGTAAATTTTGCATGGCTTTAACTTATTTTTTGTTTTAAAAAGTGCCACTCTACATTATTCAGCCTCTCTACATTATTCAGCTCATGACTTTTACTGCCAATTATTCCCCATACTTTGCATACTTGCAAAACTGCACGCATACATAGCATGGATATTTATGAAGTGATTATTTCTTATACAAAAATTCATAACAAAATAGGTACAAGGCAATGACTAGAGTTTCATTAGCATTCAGAAGTAGATACAGAACACCGATATCCTACACTGAGCAGGGGTCATAGTCTAACTGTGCTGAGCATCTGTAAATTGCAGTGAAGCCAAGGGAGCTGCAAGTTCACAGCTCTACTGGTCCATGCCATGCAATTATTAAACTAATCAGATTACAAAGTAAGAGCCAAATATCATGAAGACTGAACCAAGGAAATAATGGAATTTGAACCCAGCATTGCAACTAAAATTAATTATTGCTCATAGAAATCTCTACAGAGCCTTGTTTACAGACAACTTATTCACATTTGAGATTCAGCTTTGTGTATAGCGTATGATTCTTAACGTCACAGAAACTTTGCCACAAAAAGCTACAGTCACCCAAACATCCATGTGAAAAGGACAGATTCCATCTGGAAAAATCCAGACCAGCAACATGGTTGTCTCTACTTTCTATACTATACAGGTATATTTTTTCATTGAACTGTAGATATTGCTGTTTTTACACTTGAGTTTGTTGGGTTTTTTTTAAAACTGTAATGGAAGATATTGAAGCAACAATACAGTATACTGACTTTGACCTTCAAGGGAATATAGCATCCTACTGATGCAAGGGCATTCACACATGGAGTTCCCATCAACACTAAAGGAAGTGGTTCTGTCAACTCCCATGCACTGACAGTAGGGCACACCTTAAGTTTCACGAAGACACCTGCCAGGAAGATTTTCTCCCTGACAATCAAGTCTTCAAATTGGAAAACAATGTTTATTTCCAGTGCATTCTAATGCGGCTTCAGTAAAAGGTGAGAAGTGGTTTGAAAAGCTCTGCATTTTTTGACCACAACTAACAACCTATAATGAAGTGAACTGACACACATACAGTGCGAAGAATCACAATCTGTAATGGATGAAACTGCCAGAAAAGAAGAAAACATTATTTCATGTTGCAGTTCTGGTTGCATACAATTATGAACCAGATCTGCTCTGAGAATTTATAAACTTCAGTATTTTAAGTATATAGCAGAACAATGAAAACAAGTGGCAATAGTTTTGACTTGATAACAAACTTAAGGGGAACCATTTCACTTAGATGCTAAATACGTCTTGCAAGTAATTTGTAGGTTATTTTATTAGATATCTTCTTATACACTTCTGAAAAGATAAACTTGTCTGAGAAAGTTAGTGTTGCATCTATTACAAACGCATAGCCAAAAGAGGCAATATTGTTTCATCAATTTCAAAACTCCCCACTGAATTCTTTTTTAAAATGAATAATGAGCTCTGATGTCCCATATCTAAGTGAAAACATATGGCTGACTTGAAAAGGAAGGCAAAGTATATCTTCTGTTTTAACATCCTGCCAGAACTCAGGAGAGAACAGGTAACACTTTAAAACAATTATCAAGCTAATTCATGCTGAGACGTAAAATAAAAAGCTATACAAGTACTTCCTCTCTTAGAGCAAATTTGTTGCACTGAGATTATTACAATAAATACCACATAAATTGCTAAAATTGGCCATTATTTTGAAGAGTATTCTGATGATATACAAATGGGGTAACAGGACACAGGTTTTCCTTTTTTATTTTTTTCCTGTTTTAAAACTAATTAGGGGGAAAAAAAACCACTGACAACAGACTGTAACATGCAGTATGACTGAACTCAATCACATAAATAATTTCAAAGAAGGTATGCTGCTTCAATCTAATTTTAATTAGCAAACAATGTAAAATCATGGCAAAGTCTGGGTAGTGTAACAAAAAGACCCTGAGTAACATTAAAAATCTGTAACACTGATTATTTTGATTTTGGAAGTCTCCCTTAAACCACTCGATTCATTCTGGTCACTGGGGTTTTCTGTTTACAAAAAGGTTTGTGCATCCTGTGGCTTTTATATGAACCCATTACACACCATTTAATGAATGCATCTAAACCAAAGACAGTGTCGTAAGAATGGCTGGGAAGTAACACGTTAAGGAACGTCCTCCTAGCTGCCAATCAGACATCACTGGGTGATCTTGCTCTCTGAGACAGGTTAGAAGGAATACAGCCACAACAGATGAGCCAAAGTGCTTTCTGTATCTCCTGGTTTCTAAAAGCATATATTACAGGATTGATGATGGAATTGTAGGTAGCTGGCAGGAGGGTGGCATAGGTGTATATAGAAGGATAGGTGTAATCTGCTATTAAAGAATAGAGTGTAAAAGGCATCCAGCAAGCAGCAAAAGTCCCCAAAATAATGGCCAAAGTAGACACTCCTTTTCGGGTGGTCACATAGTGGGAAGTGGCCAGGAAATGGTGTTGCAAGGCAATCTGATGGGCATGGCGCATCACGATTTTACAGATTTGAATGTAGAGCTGCAGCATGAGGGCAAACATAAGCAAGAAAGAGACCGAAAGGACTGCTGCATTATTTTTAGTGAGTGGTCTGATAACACTGCAGGTGGATTCATCTCTGAGGCAGTTCCAGCCCATTACAGGCAGCAGTCCAACACAGATAGATGCTCCCCAGAGCAATATAAGCATGACATAGGTAAAAGTGACAGTCCTCTCCGAATTGTAAGTCAAAGCGTAATACAGGGAGAGGTAACGATCAACAGTAATAGCCAGCAAGCTGCCGACAGATGCTGAGAAAGAGGCAACAATCAGTCCAATCGTAACCAGTTTCGTAGCTTCTGATTGCAGAAGGTATGCAAAAACGAAATTGATGATCAATCCAATGCCCGCTAAGAGATCTGCCAGCGCCAGGCTGCCTATCAGGAGGAACATGGGAGCACGAAGACTGGGATTATGGAAAATTATAAGAACCACAATGGCATTTTCGCAGGAGATAAGGGTCCCTGAAGTACACAAGACAATGTCCCAGGGGTTTACCAAAAGCTCGGGCTCTGGGTCTACGACAGGAACCAGGGAGGAGCCTGCGGCTGAGGCATTCTCGGTAGAGCTGGCTTCTACATGATCCTGAGGCAGCCAGCTCAAATTAACCTTCAGATCTTCATTCATTTTAACCCCTGTCTTCTTCAACGGAAAGACATGTTTTTTAATGTTCAGACACAGCACTGGATGCAGCACTCCCGGAGCATGCAACGCCCTAGACGGCAACACCAATCTAATGTGCAAGCAGGCACTTGTTACATAAATGTGACAATAAAAATGAAAAAAAGAGGAGGGGAGAGGGGGGTAAATTTGAAAACTGCCCGAAATTATCTGCCAAGGGACCGACAGAGGGAGGCTGAGTGATCGAGCGGTAATTCCCTTCACCTGCAGAGGGAAGAAGGCGCAGGGAGGGGAGGAAGCCCATCAAATAGCTAACACCACCCACCCCACACCACACCACTACCCCCCTCCCCGCGTGGAAGAGCTGCAATTTGGGGTGTGGGCTGGTGTAAAACCCCGTTATTCAGCCGCCACGGTTTCAAAGCGGGATTATTTCTTTGGTCACGGAGGGAGCGGCCAGGATAAGGGCGGGGGATGGGGAGAACCCTTCACCGACCCCCTGTGAGGAAAATCCCGCCCGGGGTGGGGTGGGGAGGCCCTATCCTCTGAGAACTAACAAACTCGACGCGGACACCCCACCCCACACACATACACCCGGCGGCGGTTGTTCACCTGGGCTTTCCCCCGGCGCGGTCGGAGGATGGATGGAAGGAAGGAAGGAAGGAGAAGGAACACAGAGGAGGGTCCGCCCCTGGGTCCCTTCAAAGGCGGCAGCGGGACCGCCCGCCCCTCACGGCGGGGCTGAGGGAGCAGCGCAGGTGCGCGCCCCCCCCTCCCCTCGGCCGCGCGCCCGCGCGCGCGCAGGG